GCTTATGATGTTAACCTAACTGTTTTTCCTACTTTTTGTTCCCATAATATAATATCGAGTACAGCAATGAAAATTTATCTATCGTTTTGCATAAGTAATAAATTATTGTTGTTTTACAATAAGTTGCTTTCGTGTTAACGAATGCGATAGTTTATATTGTCATAAAAATTGCCAATACGTTATCAATCTCTCGTAATCAATAACCTTTTGTTGAACATTGTCGATTTATAAAAGAAAAAGTGTGACCTCAGATTCGTGTATGCGGATTCGCGAAAATTTTACTTGTAGTAGATATGACACCATGTGTGTCAACGATAATTTAACAAACGAGATGAACATGGCAAATCAATCAAAAAATCGATCGACCGCCAAATGTCAATCTGATAGGGAGTAACGTCGACTTTCGTCAGTGCACACAATACTAAATATAAATCATACGGAATAATTTGATTGAGTAAGAACTTAGATATACATGGTTATTTTTTTGTCATCTAAAGTCTCAATTCGTACGTCTCATTTACTGTCAAAATAATTAGTTTAGTCCTCTCCTTGTGTGTGAGAACTATATAATTTATAATGATTTAAATCTACAATATATAGGTACGAAAACGCTAGAGACGGTAGAAAATCATATGTTTTGTCACTAAAAAGCTAACAATATTTCATTATTATTTGAGACCAAAATTATTAACAATAATACTAAAACATGGTAAGCGTAATAAATTCTTGACATAAAATAATTTCAAAATTTCCAGGAGTAACTTATGGGCGGTATCATCCTCGATTACTTTTTGATGCCTGTAGTTGATATGTAACGGCATGTTTTTAGATTAATCTTAGGATTCGTCAAATAAGTATCCAAAAAAATTTACATGGGAATCATAGTGTATAGAAGTCATAAAATCGATCATAAAACGCATTAAATGTTCTTTTTTAATAATGGGATCAATAAAATATTCTTCTCATTGAAAATCGAAACTATATGAAAACAACAGGTACCTATCTACGAAAGGCAAATTCCGTAATGAAAAGTGAAATGAAGTCCCCGCTTGGACATCCGAATGGGGGAGTAGTTGACTAGTTTACGTCTGGAGTGTTTTACCCCAGAAGACGTCATGATTTAATTTGTATAGTTGTACGTTTTACTCGTGATCTCTNATCTCCAAATACATCCGCAATATGCAGTTAGAATGACTATTTTATTGATCAATGGATGGAAAATGATCTAATTGGAGGAGATTATTACGGCGAGCGGCATCGCACCAATATCGCAATATATGAGAATCGTGGCACAGTCTACTTGAGAGAAATATTGGAAAAACGCATCCAAACATCATGGAGCTTCTAAAACATTTGTAGGGTAATTCTGCCTATTACGAGATCTTTCATGTTAGGACAGAGCTAAATATGTCTCAGAAAAGAAGTGCAACGAAGTATGTACAACTGTACAGTACGATAAAAAGGACCATTGACCAAACAGAAAACACTGGTGACATTTGTAACGATTTAAAAAAAAATGTGCTGTTTAATAGATTTTGAAATTGTATTATTAGCTAGGCTAATTATGATTATAAGACCCACTATAATGTAGTATGTAAAAATATATATTTACCTACAAAAAACAATTTATTAAATTCTCTGGTTCTAATCTGGTTCAAAGTTTGAAATATCTTTCTATATTAAATCAAATGTTCAATATCATCTCCTGAATGTGGACGCCAAGAGCAATTTCATTGTATAATCTCTTTTTCAATTTGGCGGAAAGCAATGGGACTAAGTCGCGTTCGTAGTACAATAATTGAATGAACTGAACTAAAATGGGTGAGTTTTTGAAGAAAAATTATGAAATATATTTTTTTTTACCTTTTAACCCCTCTTATGCCTTCATCATTCATTCGAGAAAGCAATAGTTACAGTTAGTCCCTTGGTAAGACACTTTAAGAAGTAGGCATTTAGAAATTTTTTTATTTAGGTACTGTAATGGATATATTACCAAAATACTAATTAAAGTTTTGTCCCTTCGTGTAATGCTGTAAAAGTGTTAATTCTGACCTTATTTATACATAGAAAAAAAATAATTTTTTGTGCTTTCTTATTCTTAAAAGCTAAACGAAGGTCTTCACGGTGGTTCAAAATCCCCGATTGAAGATAAGTAATACCCACCAACGTTTCCGATCTGATTGCTAATTATTTTTGCAAGGTTACAAATGTTAAAAGCGTTTATAAGAGATTTTTAATCGGTTTAGTAGATATAATACGTAATTGAATACATCAATTATGCATATCATCTAAATTCAATCTCGATGGAATAAAACATAAGGATTTCACTCACATTTGTAATGCTATTTATTCCGATACCGACTCAGATAACAGCCAATTATTAATTTTAAAATTATTACTATTGAAGTGAGTAATCTTTTAATAAATGAAATTACGGGCAATACCTACATTACTAAGATTTTATTCAATTAAAATTATAAAGTATTTGTTTTATTGTTGGTTAGTGTTCTGGAATTTCTTGCTCTGTTTGGTGTTGTTTTAAGAAAGTTCTGTGTACAATTGCATTGAATCCGGTGTGATCATTAGCTGAATACTCAACAGTTCGCAAAGTACCATCGGGATCAACCAGGGAATAATGTCCCTTTACAACGTCGCCTTCACGGGCTTCTTGGTGAAATTTTATATCCCCTGTATGAAAATCTTGTACGCCATATCGGAAATTGTATTTTGGATATGCCTAAAAAAAATAATAATAATATACATAATTTTCATAATTAATGTAAAAATTGAAAAAGTTTGGTTATTTATTTACAGATTAACTCCTTTGTATTTATTGGCCTATCTACAATAGACAGACAAAATTAACAAAATTAAATTAAATTAAATTCAACTCAAGAGCATTTTAACAAAAATGATAAATTATCATTCAACATTATTTTAAATTCGTGTAAATATCTATTATTTATACTAGTTCTTCGCCCCTATCAGTCACTGTGAGCTCGAAACTGTTAGCACCATTGCTTCGAGTGGCCGAAATTCACTTTTGTAAAGAATTTGTTTAATCACTTGCTTTGTGTTAAAAATTGTTTGAAAAATTAAATTTAAACGAATTGTTTGTAAATAGGTATGCAACACATCGTACACTTCAGCATAAGATATTGCTGATACTAACTACGTAATACTACTTTGCCCTGTGCTGACAGCACTCATAATTTCTTTTATACATAATATTTAGTTTTACCTAATTGTAATATACCAATTCCCGTGTTTTCGTTCATATATGAAGGTATATTATTCTTGGTATTGCAATTGCTGGTCTAATTTCAAATTTGACGGAGCACCCCTTGTCCTTAATCTACTAATTACCTCTAGTTTTAGTTCCAATCATCATATATGAGGAAATAAATTATATAACTCAGAACAATTAAAGTATAAAGTAGGTAATGTTAAGTCGGCTTAAATTTGTTATTTTTCACATTTTATGCAGTTTCTCCAGTTATTAACTTGATTACCTAAAGGTCGCTCAAAAATTTTATAGATAAAGCAAAAAATATTATTCCTTAACTTTTATTTCTTATTTCTCTTTTCATAATCAGTGTGAAATCAACTCCTTTGGCTTTGATTTCACACTGATTTCACAATTTTTTAAACGTTTCAAAATTCTAAATATGAATATTTTCAGATGCAAATTAGAATAGAATCACCATTTGTAATTCAAATAATAAAAAAAATATCAAAAATACTTTTTTTATAAGTATGGTTAGCGTTCTTAAAAATCTTGAGTGTACTTTAAACAATTCTCGTGACATTTAAGGCAAAGGGAGAGTCCCTTCCATGCATCAAAACAAAAAAATTTTTACAGGAAAATCGCCTAATTTTGGATGCTTTTGTTTGCGTGAATAAAATATATTTTAATAATTTAATATAATTGATAGAAATCTTTGATACTTTATGGAAGCTCCATTATAACTTAATTTCTGTAACTTTTCAATACTTCACTTAACTGTTAGAAATAAAATAGTATTTAGTGTTTGTTCGACTAGTTTCTTCTTTATTAGGACATTTTTAAGAATTAAATACCCAATTAATTAAATACATAATTAATTCATTCTTGAAAATGTTCTAATAAAAACGAATCTAGTCGAACAAACGAAAAATAGCGTTTTATTTCTAACAAAGTAAAGTATTAAAAAATTACAGAAATAATAAAAAATGTTTAAATTTTAATAATTCTATTGTACCTTTATTATTCAGGTTACGTGATTGAAACAAAAACATCCGTCATAGCAATTTTTTTTCAACTGCATGGGTATATTCTGCAAACTTTCTGGAACATTCCTGTAAAATGACACTACCCTAAGCTAACTATTATTTACCTTTCTGTAACAGTCTGCAAGCAGAGAAACAAAAAATTTATAATACAAATAAAGGCATAATTTTAATTTACTAGTGAATAAGCGAGTTTGTGCTTCACACAAGATTACTTTATACGGGAGACCTTTCGTTTTATGGGTTTATTTACAAAAAACAATTAACGGACTTTGAAATACTGAATAGAATTACCCAATATAAGGAGACTTTCCTCTATACAAAATCGGAAAAACAAAAATTCTAAAGAACAATGGATTATCTACCCTAGTCTGCATCATAAAATGTATCTGATACCTAAGTTTTGACCCTGAACCAAATCTTATGCGTCAAAGTCTATTCATAACTCCTTGATTAAAATAAAAAATAAAACAGTAACAAATACATTGTGTGACTTTCAGCGTCGCAATTTTCTCATGCGTGATTCACTATATAACGTGTATGCTTTTTTTTTATTTTTATTAGTTTCAAAGAAGAATTAGTAGAGGCCACACCTGTTTGTCAGTACTATATTTATATGAGAAATGATGCATAATGCAATTATCGTAAAAAATTTAAATTCCTAAATGAAACACACATAATTACCACTGGATTTATATACTTACTCTTACTAAATTTTTCTATGAAAATACCTAGTAAACACAAACTGCATATTTTTGAAGNCGGGTGTTGAAATACTTGGTTTCCTCAATTATTCGATCGGCTTTTTGCAAAAGGAATTGCCCTCCCAATATCGCATTAACCTTGAGCGACTCTTCTTTCTTCAAAACATTGGCAATGCGACGTTTGAAGAGGATGAAACAATCGGCGAGAAACTGACGTGGGTCTTTATGCTTCAAATTAGAAATCACACCGGTACGAATGCGGCTATCGAATGCGATTTCGCTGTCGTCCCATTTTACTCTTTTTGATGGTCTAGAAGAGGTTAAAACCTCGCCCGTCATCCCCGAACCATGTCTTACAGAAACTTTTATTTGATTTCTATAACTTTTAACGTTAGCCAGCTGCGATAAAAGTTGTTGCTTCTCGCCTACCGTGGTTGCCTTCTTCAATAGCATTTTAATAGTTCGTACAGCCTTAGTACAGTTCTTCAGTCCGTCGCGCGCTGCATCTTCGCTGTAGGTTGTCTGCAAAGTCTTTACTAATGAAGTTATAGTAAAAATCAGAAGCTTAAGAACCTTTTTGGCTGACATGATCTGAAACGTGAAAACATCGGTCGTTTAATAAAACATATTAATCACTAATATTAGTAGAACACGGATTTAAAGCAGATGGCCTGTATAAAAACTGCTCTCAGAATTACATTAAAAATAAGTGTTATTATGATGAATATTATCACATACTACACAGTGAAAAACAAGGGGTAGTGGTGTTTTATCTGAAACATTTGATACTATTACGTAACAACACCTCGTGCAAAAATGGAAACCTACCTCTTTCAAATAAAATAATTCGAAGTGGTCTGTATTCTATCGAAACTGCCAGACGCGGATCGCGATTTCGATCTTTTTGGATCTCATCAGCGCGTCGCAGGCAGCTCCGACAGAACACAGACCAACCTACAAACGAAACTATTAGAACAGAATTTCAAAGAAAAATTACTCAAAAGATGATGGTGTATATATATACCTAAAGTGATCTAAAAAATTTCGAAGTGAATTCAAAAAATATACAGTTATTATAATAATGTAATCGTCACAAGATGCTGTTTAATTTGATATGAAACACGTCGTACCTTTTTTTAAAAATAAAATGCTAACAATATTACAGTTCTAATCGCTGCAGTTCAATTAGGTATATACCAAACTACACCACACATATTTTTGAAAATGAAGAGCCCCTTTTTTAATAAAAATAAATTACAATTTACTGCTTATAAAGTAACAAATATTGCCGATATTTATAACTATAACTGTGAATAATACATGCTTTATAAGATACAAATGAAACTATTAGAACAGGATCTCAAAGAAAAATTACTCAAAAGAAGACGGTGTATTTACCTAAAGTGATCTAAAAAATTTCGAAGTGAATTCAAGAAATATACAACAATATTATAGTTCAAATTGTTACAGTTCAATTAAGTATAAACCAAACTATACCACACATATTTTAGAAAATGAAGAGCCCCTTTTTAATAAAAATAAATGACAATTTACTACTTATAAAATAACAAATATTGCCGATGCCTATAGCTATAACTGTAAACTTACGGATGCATAATTATGTATTATACTAAGTGCTTAATATGAAGTACAACACATCCTACATCATTTGAAAATGGCAACCTACCCCTTCTAAAATAAAAAATATTAGTCTACACAAACCACTATAAAGGGGTGGGAAAATATTCTACCCCATATAATTTATCTGAAAAACGGGCACGGATTCAAGAAAAATTATAATTTCTAGCGGTGGTGCTGGTAACGGTACGATATACAACACGGTGCTTTATATGGAATATTTTACATTACTACTAGAAGATTTCAAAGAAGAATTAGTAGATGCCACACCTGTTTGTCAGTACTATATTTATATGAGAAATGATGCATAATGCAATTATCGTAAAAAATTTAAATTCCTAAGAAGAATTAGTAGAGGCCACACCTGTTTGTCAGTACTATATTTATATGAGAAATGATGCATAATGCAATTATCGTAAAAAATTTAAATTCCTAAATGAAACACACATAATTACCACTGGATTTATATACTTACTCTTACTAAATTTTTCTATGAAAATACCTAGTAAACACAAACTGCATATTTTTGAAGGACTGGAACAATTCATTAATTTGTATGAATTCAGATGGTCAAAATTGAATACAGAGAAAGGTGTTTCAGTCAAAATTTTTTGGCCTACCCATCGTATTTATCACATTTTGCCTAAATTCCCAGATTTGTATTTTCCTGATTTTTCAAATGGAACGTTCTGATTTTTGGATTGCTTTAGAATTGACCTCACTTTTTTTGCGTAGAACTGCGTTAAAATTTTGATGGATTTCACAACTGAAATGTACGCCACTGTTTTTACGAGAAAACTTCTTTTTATTAATTATATATCTTTAATAATGTAACTAAACTGCGAAGTATTTAACAGCATTCATAAACCAGTGGCTCTAGCATCCAAGTATTAAAAAACTGTTTTTTTTTAATTTTTGTTACGAAATTTTACAAGATTTTGAGGAAATCTTGCAAAATATTCGAAAATAAACAAAAGCACAACGTTCAATATAAATTTAGGTGCCCCAGCAGCAACACTTTTTGAAATATACAACCGGGAATGCTGCCAAATGTGACAAGTATATGCGCTATTTTTCTAAAAACATTAAACGTATCTCCTATTTTCCCCTGTTTTTTACTCAATATGAAATCAAAGCCTAAAGGGGTTAAAAGTTTTTTAAAAACCACTGCCGACATTTTACCCTAGTTGTAAGGACCTCCTCAAGACTACAGCTAGAAAAACTTTTTAACTCCTTTTGACTTTTTCACACCGAAACCTTTCCAACATGTACAATGTGACTCAGTTTAAATTCAGAACCTTTTAGAATGTCTTGGTAATGGTCTGTATTTTGACAATTTTTATATGTCACTGTCACTTTTTTCTTGCTAAGTAAAAATTGCACTTTTATAAGGAATATCTCAAAAGTAATAACTAAATCAATGGACTTCTTAAATAAACCTTTTATATAATTAAAATCATCAATATTTTAAAATAGAAATAAGTATAAAGCAAGTGGGTATCTTTCTTAAGAGATTACAACATGCGACACTTCCACTTCATCGTTCTCATAATTGTTTTGTTCTTGCTCTGCCTTTAAATCTCTCCAGAATTTTCTCATTTCCTGGACTTCGGGTTCGCGTCGTACCCAGTATCCTTTCATGTACGCTTGAATTTTGATGGCAGCATATTCGTAACTCCACACATAAGAAAATGGGAAAATCGGTCTAGGATGTTCTTCTAACCAATCCTCAACCCAAGGCATATCAAAAATATACATCCAATTATCCTTGCGTTCGGGATATTTCGGATTTAAGTTCCAATACATTTCAGCGATATAATCGATTGGATTGAAAGTGCATCTCAAACACAATCCTTTCTCTTTTGCTTTGGTCATTGTCTCCAATAAGATGTACTTTAAAAAAGGGTATATTTGGTATTTTAAAATGGTCGTAGCAGGGTTGTCGGGTATCGGACACTCAGTAATTTTAGTCTGTCGAAATGAATCTATTTCATTCCGGTTTTCTTCGCTTTCCTTTAAAATTTCCTGCCATATCTGGTTGTGAGGAACCTTCGGTGTTTCTTCTAAATCACTTTCCTCTGACTGAGTTTCTTCCTCTTTTGAGATTTCCTGCGCTGAAGTTTTTTTCAATTGAACATTCGACTGAAGTACTTTTTGCGATGACATTATAATGACACCTTGTTTATAACAAACTAGCAAAAATAAAAATCTCACTAACCCGAGCAACATTTTTTCTTCATTAATATGATGTAATTTGTAATGGATTAAAAATTAAATGAATTTTCACATTAATATTGAATATTATATTGGTAAATTCGTCTAATTGTTTTGTTTATTAAAATTATNATGGATAAATTTCCGACAGCCTGTTTATACACTTGCGATAGAGGCCATTTGGTTTGTTCAAGATGCTATAAACAAGAATATTACATTGGTATGCTATAATCATTAAAACAATTAAATCGATTTGTAATATATACCTGAAAACTTTTTTAAAATATTCGCGTAACCTAGATGATACCGATATCGATAATATTAGAAATGTGCGAAATGGTGTTTTAAAAGTATTTAAATACAAAATGCAAATACTTTTTTCGTTTGTTATTTCAAATGTAAAATACAAAATAGATTTCCCTTTTGTATTTTTAATGCCAAATGCGTATTTTCAAAATATTTTTTTTGTAGTAGGTACTTGTTTAATTTTGTACATTTACTTAGGTATAAAATTGTTTTTAAGAAAACCTTGCAGGTATTTGCTCATTTTTTAAATATTGGAGTTTTTCTAAACTAATAGTGAAGTTTGCACTATATTACCAGGTGCGAAGATTGAGTACGATTCATCTTTTTCTGTTTGAAGTGATTGAGGTATAGTTTTTCTAACTTTATGATATAGTTTCTTCAGTTCAACAACAAATAATTCTTCTATATGCTTCCTTAATTGCCTTTGTCACTCTTTTAATTGGAAAATAGACACTGATGCCAAAATAGTTTGCTTAGCGTGAAAGATTAGAGCCAAAATAGATTTGCAAATAATTTTATTGACGTAAAATCAACATCAATCATTTTATATCGAAATACTTACAACCCCATTTTGTTTATGATCTTTAACATATTGTAATAAGAGTAATCTACAGTTCTTTAGCTTTGGGTTTATCTAATAAGTGAAGTTTTTCGAATCGTTTTCTAAGAATTTAGGATTATACATATTTAATAGCAGATCACAATATCTTGTAGTTATCAGTTTTACACAGCTTTTATATCAATTCAATATTGTTTGTCGTAATTCCTAGAATTTCGTAATTCCTTGCTAAAGGTAGGAAAAGTGGTGATTTGACAGGTACTGATATCAGTTTGGAACTTCAAAATTCCATGGACCATGACATTGAACCCGGAAAACAATATCGATCCAATATTTTATATTATCCACCGTTAAATTAACAATTTTTGGGCTCTCTTCAGTTAAAGAATTAAAAGACATTCACGGAATGTCTCTTTGCCTCCTTTTTAAGCTTCTAATACCTTCAATGGCCAATATGAGCAAACTTCATTTATTTATTTTGTATAGTTTGATCGATAATATTATCAAAACAATTAAGGACAAAAGTAAATTCGTCTAATTGTTTTGTTTCCTTGTAAATTTTATCGCAGTTTTGTACCCAACTCTTTTTTTCTTAGGTCAAGGGTTTTACACCGTTGTATTTAATAATTATGAAATCAGTAAATAAGTACTTACATCATAATCTATCGAGTGATCGTAATCTTCTTTAGAATCATTCTCCGAAGCAGTTTGAAGATTGTCAGAGTGTCCTTCCTGATCCGTGTAAGTTTTACTGTCTTTCTCGGGTTCGTACGGTTGTGTAGGATAACTTGAAGCCTTTTTTAGCAATAAAAGGTATATCGAAATCTAGCGTAAAAATTGCAAGTAAAAAATAAGCTCCTAAATGTTCAAACTAATGGAGGGTAATAAAATTAAAAGTTTACCTGCATTACGGTATGCATGTTTAGTCAACGAATGTGTAAACTAACCGGACTAGTTCTTAATTACAAATGCACTTAATAAGTAAACTAAACTAGAGAAAATAAGAGATGGCTTATATATGCTTTCTTTTGGAAAATAAAAACGTTAATGAAACTGCATATTTATCGAAGTGAATCGTTTAGGTAGTTGGCATAAGTGTCTATAAAGAAAGTGCTTCTTATTTATCATGCACGTATAGCACCGAGTAGAATTGAAAAATATTAAATTGAATGAAAATTACAGTTTTTCTAACAGATTTTATTGAAGTCAGATTTACAAAATACAGGTAGAAGATAGGTAAAGTATTACAAATGTAAATTGTTCCGTATGTACAAGTCTAAAAGGTTTTCTTTTCTAGTCACCCAAAAAAATTCTAACATTTTTGAGCGACTCGTTTTTCTTCAGTTTGTATGTTAACTCATGAAAAAGAATATAGGTTTACGAGGTTGCCCTTTGGCTTATTATGTTTTACAATTTCCAGTCCAAAAATTTAACTAACAGCAGCAAAAGTAAATTACCGTAAATAATGCTTGTAAATTAATGGATGTTAGCACTTCGTGACAATCAGTCGCAGTTCTTGATACTTTCTGAATACGAATGCATTTAATTAATGCTCAGCGATTAACAGAAAGCGGAATGCCATTTATTCTGAATCTTCGGCGAAGGGTGACCATTTTAACTGTCTAATACTTTTACATATTGTATGTATTTCTACAGCAATAAAAAATTCTAAAATTATAAATTTTTCTTTATACTTAATTATATTTCTGTTAGACACCTTTTAGCACTTTAAGAGCAACGGAAGTTGCGCGCGCATTGCTAACAAAAATTTAACGGGGATGAAGTTAGCAATGTTTGGCTATTGATTTACGAGTTTCCTTGTAATTCATAACAACGATTAAAGAAAATTGTAATTGTCAAAGTTTGACATC